CTCCTCCTCAGTATGCTCTTGCGGTTCGGCAATAGCTAGATGACGAGTTTCCAGATAAATGGACAGGGCGAAGAGGGCCTATAGAATGGCCTGTTAGATCTCCTGATTTGACGCCATTAGACTTTTTTCTATGGGGCCATTTGAAATCTATTGTGTTTTCTCCTCAACCTAAAAGTTTGGATGAACTTCGTCAACATCGAACGCTGCCAGATGTTTCCGAAAAAAAAATGAACATCGCCTATATCATTGTTTGGCCAATAACGGGACATTTTTAATACTAATTGAAATAAAAAGTAAAATTTTCGTGTGTTTTTGTTTTCTATGTGAACAAATCAAGATAAATAAAGATTTTTCAAATTTTCTTGAAAACGAATCGACCAATTTTAAAAAATGAGACGTCAGAATAAAGGACATTGAAAGACCTTTCAAACAAGCTATTACTTTATACCCCTTGTTACTTAAAATTTTGAAGGAGATGACCCTGGGGGGCAGAGGGTTAAAGGGAATGAAATAGTTTTTAGTTAAAAAGTTGTCCCCCTTGACAAATCTTTTGACGAGTCTCGGCGTTTTTTCTTTTAATCAGTGGTTTTCGATAAATCCGTGGTGGGAAGTCTTCAAACGAACACCTTGCATAAATAGTTCTACTATAGCGGTGTGTCAGTGACGACACCATCGCAGACCAGTTGGAGTTGGTTAAACATTGCTAAGTAGGCAGTGGCCTCCACGACGATGCAGCAACCCAAACGACTGCCAAGTTATTTCAAATTATAAGCACATTATTTATCGAACTTTTATCGTTTAATTTTCCCGTTGTTACGAGGATTAGAAACTTCTTAATCATAGAACATCTTTGACTAATACTAAAGAGGGTGGGGACATTTAGGGGGACACGCACTTCCCTATCCCCCCCTCTAGATACGCCCTTGACGTCCCTCTAGACCTAGACAACTGCCATTTCAAACCTGCCTATCCGGGAAAATCGGCAAATGTAAAGTTTTTTTAAGTGATAAAAAATCCTAGGTCCCTTGAGATACCAGTTATGCTGATTTCACTGGAAAAATTAAACAATACATCGGCCAATAAAAGATGATAGTGTTAAATAACGCATTCTTATTATTGAATCATAGATAATGTATACCGTTGAATTCCATGCATTTTGTTCTTGCATTCAAGGGTGTTCAAACGATTTAGGGAAATACGACCAAAACAATTGAAGAAAAATGAAGCGCTCAGTGTACGAATACCATTAGAAGACTGTATGGAGAAAATGCCTGAACTACGAGTAAGTAATCTTATTTTACGTCTTGAACCTTTGACCGAGAACGTTTCGCAAACGTCAAGATGACCTTAAGTCTTGATACTTTCTAAGGCCACACATGACATCGACCTCAAATGTGGTGGGGGACTCCTCTTCTCCACATCGCCTACAATGATGTGGAGATTACTGTTTTACATATTGTGACCAATAAGAGACAAATCAACAATCCGAACGGTCAATTCAGAAACCACCTAAATGACATTTTTTCTGGAGACGCTTTCCTGAAGGTAGTTAATGCATTTCTTCTTCTTTAAATAGTACCGAGTTAAACACGTTCATTGCACAAACAAATAACTGAAATGCACAATTCGACGGCAGCATTGACAAAAAAAAAATTAATTACACCAATTAAAATTTCAATTAGACCAACTAAAATAATTAACTACTATTTAATTAGCTAACAAGATTTATTAGTTTAATAAAACTCCGATTTCTAAAACAGTTTACTTGCATGTATGAAACTAGTTTAATTAAACTAAGACGCACTCGGTTAATTAAATGTATAAACCATTTACTTAGATGGAGTAAATCAGCTTATTCAAAATTAATGAGCTAGCAACATGAGTTTACCTGCTCCAAGTAAAACAATTTAATTATATCTATAAAATTTGTTTAACGAGTTTTAATGAATGATTTTATTTAGTTTTAAAAGGATATTCGGATAATATTTGGAATATAAAAGAACAAATTTCATTTTACTGAATGATGTATATTAAAACTGTGGTCTAATAAATCTTGGATATCAAAAAAGTTGGAAAACTTGATATTGATAGTTGATGTTTTCGAGTCAAAATAAAAGCTTTCGGATTTTATAACCTTAAAAAAATTCGACACTTTTTATTTCCATTGATTGTAATTTTGTTATATATGGGATTAAGTTTTACCGCGTTAGGATCAGTATTCGTAGTTTAGGCGTTTCGATGACCAAGAGTATTTAAAGCTAAATTATACGGGGTGTTAGGGAAATAATATTCGTAACTTTAAGAGGTGATTCCTTGCATTATTCTAAGCAAAAAAGTTCATTATAAATTATGTCCGAAAATCAATCGTTTTCGAGGAAAGTGAGTCATAAATAATTAAATTTTCTCAAGCATTTGGCAACGCTGCAATGCAACCACGATACGAGCGCACGACGACCGCAACTGATTCATAGAATTGTTTACGGTTGTATGATATTTTTTTTTGAAAATATGCCTTGAATTATTATTGAATACTTTTACGCAATTTTTGTGGCTAATATTTTTTATTTAATAACGCTTTCATTAATACATTTACTTAAAAAAAATGACAGAACTTACCGGTACGTGGCGACACACACCACCAATTCCCAAGATTATCAGTCACTTATTTGAAACGATGCGTTGCACGAAAAAAAAAATCAATAAACCACATCAACTTACAGTTAAATGTATTAGTAATTACAATAGATGTTCTTCGGTTTCCACTTCAACTTCAGGATGTCTTCCGCGATTGTTAAAATTAGGCACTACGCTCCCTGTGTCCAGAAGTCTTTGGGATACTTCTACGAATATTCTTCTAGCCTCTTCAGAATTGCAATGAGTCTCTCCGTAAATAATAAGCATATCGTGATACTCGCGTACCGAAAACACCTCTTTCGTATCAAAATGCACGCACTGATACAGTAATACATACTTAATAATAAAATGTGAACTCAATTCGGGTAAACATTACTTGCAATAACGTATGCAAGAAACTATCAAATAATTTTTTCCCAATGTAGGTATCAATTTTTTTGCCTACCGACACGATGTCGGTCGCGATGATATATGCAGTGCAGGCGGAGTACGACGTTGCCAGTTGTGTGAGGGATTTTGTTGTTTTTTTTTCTTCGGAAAATTGTATTTAAAAAACAAGAAAATTATTTTGTTCGAGACAGTTAATTGATAAATAGATGTATTGATACATTTTACGCTATTAGGCATATGCATTTAAATTATTGAGGTGCAAAATCAATTTTTTTCATGACTGAAAAGAAATAAGTTCAGCATTTTTTTGCTCCGAAACGGTTGATTTTCGGACGGTTATAATGAACTTTTTTGCTTAGAATAATGCAAGGAATCACCTCTTAAAGTTACGAATATTACTTCCCTAACACCCTGTATGTTGCTAAAAATATGAGCACCGACAGGACCGAGTGAAAGTGTCCGGTCAAGAGAGGTGTCCCTATAAAAGAAATACAACAAAAGTCGTGATTTAATGAAAACTGAATACAAATTATATTAAATAAATTGGGACATTTAAAACTTAACTGTATATATATTTTTTTAAAATAAACAAAAGACTTTAAATGTAAGAAAAAGCAATTTGCTCATGTCCAACCCATCCCAAAAAAAAAAGGATCTACGACCGACCCTTATAACTACAGGCCTATAGCTCTGCTTTCTATTACAAGCAAGGCGATGGAGAGGTGCATAAATCGCGAGCTTCTGGATTACCTAGATCGTCACGGCTTGATTAGCGACAAGCAGAATTGTTTCCAGCACCAGCGATCCACAGGGGACCTCCTAGCTTACGTCACCCAATTATGGAGTAAACTCATCCAGTCTTATGGTGAGGCTCATGTCGTTGCTCTAAATATCACGAAAGCGTTTGATCAGCTGTGGCACGCTGCCCTCTTATCCAAACTTCCATCCTATGGCCTCCCAGAGAAGCAGATGCGTTGCTGACTTTCCCTCTGACCGCAAGATTATGTCGTAATTGACGGGTTCTCCGCTTCATCTCACAACGTGAACGTGGGTGTTCCCCAGGGATCGGTCTTGGCTTCGATACTATTCCTCTTACATGTCAACGATCTCTTTTCCTGAACGGTTAACCCAATCCACAGCTTTGCTGATGACAGCATTCTACATGCAAGAACAAGTGGATCTCTATAGCTCAGCTGGAAAAAAGAAGACTAGTGGCGACTTCGTCTCTGACGAGGGACCTGAAGGTTATCAGTACTTGGAGAGATGCAATAATCTTGTACAGTTTAATGCTTCCAAAACACAGTACTGTACCTTGACGAACAAAAAGCGTTCTTAGCGCTCATCCGGTTTCGATGGATGACAGTTCTACCAAAGACCCGTTCAAAAATCAGATTAACAAAAAGTCCTTGGGATCCCCATAGCAGGCGTGGTGACCTGGCATTTAGGCTTATGCTTACACGGCTGCTTCGTTATAAAGAAAAAAAGGGCAAAAATACGATTTTTGTATTATTTAAGCGAATGTCTCTTGGATGAGATCCCACATTGTCTAAAAATAACAAAATGTTTCTTTTTTCTTTAGCCATTTTCCAATCTAGGTCTTGCAACCACTCTGTCATAATTTGGAGCCATTTTTACAATGAATGCGTTGCCCACTGTGTCTTTTCCGCATAGACGTCAGACCAATACTGAATGGAATAATGGAAATTTAATCGAAACCGTGAAACTCGGGGAAGTCCCTAATTCACGCCGGGCAGAAATGCACATAGGCTGCGTTTGTACCGAAAGATTCGGTGAATCCCCGGAAAATGTAGCCTCATTTTATACATTTTCAGCAACATGCTAATTTAGTTTTGAATTCTCTTAGTGCTCTCCACCCTTAGTTTCCATTTTTTGCTTCTCATAGTCGTAATTGTCTTATTTTTCAGGAAAATCCTTTCAAGAAAAGAATATGTGAAGTATTTTCGAGAGACGGTAAAGGGAACCTCTCGTTCGATGATTTCTTAGATATGCTTTCAGTTTTTAGTGAACAAGCACCAAGGGATATAAAGGTGTTCTACGCCTTTAGAATATATGGTAAGTCTGAGAACGGCCAGTTGTTATTTGCCACTGTAACCAGTTTTTTATTCCTGATTAAAGGTTCGTATAGCCCAAAGCTCTAAGTCCGATATCAAAAACCGTCCATCAATAACAGTGGCAGTAGCATGTTTCCCTGCTATGCAAACTCCCAGAAAAGCTTTGCAGATGGGTGGCTGACTTTCTCTCTGGCCGTAAGATATTCGTCGTAATTGACGGGTTCTCTTCTTCGTCCCACAACGTCAACGCAGGTGTTCCCCAGGGATCGGTTCTGGTCCGACATTGTTCCTCTTACATATCAAGGACTTCCTTTCCTGTGCGATCAATCCAATCGACAGCTTTGCAGATGACAATGCTCTACAAGCCGATCTCTGCCGGTGAGCTGGAAAAAAGAAGACTATACCCCATTCGTAGTCCATTAACGTCCAGACAAAACATAACATGCCCAAAGGCGAGATTGAACAGGTCCGTATTTTCCTCAATGACCTTGGAATAAGCTAACAAAATAAATGATCATTTTTATTCTGCTCGAATCCACTTTTTGCGGATTTTGCCCATTATTTCCCTATTTTTGTTATATACCTTTCTCCGCATGATAATTTTCTCTTTGTAGATCCTTTGGGCTTGAAGTACCACAGCAAGTGACTATAATCGGCCGCGTGGTTGTGGTTATTTGTCTCCTTGAACATTCGAGGTCTTCTAGCCATTTTATACTACAATGTGTAGGTTGGCTCTTGTTTGTGGACTTCGTGTGTCTTTTTTTCCTCTCCATCTTCGTTTCCTTAGGTTACACTTGTATCCGGATGTATGGGCATGTGTATCTATTTTTGTAGTTGCATATGTGCATTCATTTCGGGCCTGATGAAGCCAACCAGCAGAAATACGTATCGCTCGGTTACCTATCCGATTCTGCTCGAATCCACTTTTTGCCCATTATTTTCCTAATTTTGTTATATACCTTTCTCCGCATGAAAATTTTCTCTCTCTCTCTCTCTCTATATATATATATATATAACATATAACATCCAGAAAACATATCTCAATTTCGAAATTTTTCGCACTTAAAATATCTTATATCTCCTGGCCAATTTTGGCATAGGAAGTAAAAATCTGTTGTTTTAGATTTCGATGGTGACCAGCATATAGGTCCTGAAGATATAGACGAGGCGTTGAGACTTCTAACAAGAAACTCCCATGAGTTGACTCCAGAAGATCGACAGCAGATTGTCGAAAAAGTCATTGAAGAAGCTGACGTTGACGGAGATGGAAAACTTTCTTATATGGAATTCGAACATGTGATAACCAGAGCTCCTGATTTTCTTTCTACTTTCCATATACGTATTTAGTTTGTGAGTTTGAGACTACCCTGAGTGTTTGTCGTAACATGTAGATATGAAATATGAAGGTTCCAATAGAGAAAAGGTCGTGCGATTTTTGATAAAATACAGAAACGATCAGGTATTTTTTTTCAAATAGATCAAAATTATACATATACAGGGTGTCCCAACTAAAATGGAAAGTAGTTTTATGAGCAAACTGGAAAGGATATAAAAAAATCTGTTTCCGTTGCAACCTTGATACGTTACTAGTAAATATTTTAAAATATTTTAATGTATACAGGGTATTTCATAACTTCGTGCCATAGCAAACAAGTATTTTTTGAATACCCTATATTTTATTGCATATTTGGATAGAGCTTCCAAAACAAGAAGTTTGATATATTAGAACGTACGGTTTTGATTGTCAATTGTTTGGGTATTTAATGAAATATCTGAAAAAATTACCAACTTTGGCGGCTCGTAGCTTCGCCATTTTCGAAGATATTTAGATTAATTTAAGTTCACAAAATTTTATTATCATTGATTGCAAGCTGATCTGAAAGAAATGCTAAAATTTGATTCTATTTATACAGGGTAACTCAAAACGCAAAATGTATATTTCTACATCATTAAATAGCTTTCATCGAAACATTTTTTTTTCAATAAAATACTACTTTTTTCGAACAGGTGTTATATGATATCAATCTTCTTGTTTTTAGAAGGTCTATTCAAATATGCAATAAAATATAGGATGTTCTATTTAAAAAAATAAATGCTATGGAACACTCTGTATATATTAAAATAATTTTAAAATATGCACTAGTATCATATCAAGGTTGCCACGAATTTTTGATATATCTTCCAGTTTGCTCATAAAACTACTTTCCATTTTCTTATACATGGTCATGGTGGCCTAATTATACAGGGTGTCAAAATTTTCATCCACATATCAAAGTTGATTATTTTAATGTAATGCCACATTTTTGTTACATATTTAAAAGGAGAATACTTGCGTCCTAATTAGAAAACCGATTATTTGATTTCTACCGACCGGCCCTTGAAAAACTTTTTAAAAAGGACCAGGCACAAAACATACAGAAAGTGGGTCCCAGTTGATTTTTATAAAAAATTAGTATGATATATTTCTTTCCTTTCCGAACAAAAGTGCCCATGGAACCAAAGCAATCCTATGATTCTACGTTTCTGAGAAATAGACGGGTAAGGTTTGCCTGATTTCCAAAAAACTTGAATGTGCGTATTGTAGCTCTCAGACTAAAAAATGATGATGATAAGAATCAGTGTACTAAAAGAAATATTTCAATAATACACCTTGTTGGTAGGGTCATGTTGATCTTTACACGGTCATTTCAGTGCAAGTTGATTTGTATGTTTATTCTGGAATAGATCTGGCACTAGTTGCTCGACAATTCAGAAAACTCAGTAGGACAGGTAACTTATCAAGGGCACAGAAAAGTCGTGATTGTTTCCAGCTCCGAACACCTTCCTACAACGAAATATTTCTTTTAGTATACTGAGTCTCCGAATTTTTGGTATCAGAACTACAATCATATTCACTTTTGTTCAGGAAGGCAAAAAATATAACATACTAAATTTTCAGATAAATCGTCTGAGACCCATTTTCCATATACAGGGTGCGGCAGAGAGGACGGACGTTTTTGGGATGGGTAGTACTCTCCGCCTTAGTCTACGAGAGAGGTGGGGAGGGTGCCGTTTGACTCGTGAGATCCTAGCATTATTTTACCAGTTGTCGTTATGGAGCCTTGGACGGTGGAGCACCGCGTTTTCGCCTATGATTGTTTCGTCCGAAATAATGAGTCAGTCATCGTCGTACAGCGTGAGTTTCGTCGCCACTTCAATATTCATCGGAATAGAGCTGTTCCCTCTCGAAACACCATCCTTCGTTGGGTTGAATCACTTCGCAGGCGTGGTGTACTGATCAACAGAAGACCAAGAGGAGCGCCGCGAACAGTTCGAACCCCTGAAAATGTTGAACGCGTTCGACAGGTTTTTCTTCGCAGTCCGACTCGATCTGCCCGGAAACATGCTGCTGCACTTCGCCTTAGTGATCGTTCGGTAAGGCGAATTTTGCATATGGATCTCCGCTTTCACCCCTACAAATTGGCCATTGTGCAACAGTTACAGCCCGGAGATTATGCACAACGAATTAACTTCGCACGTGAGATGGAAGCACTGATCGATCAAAATGAGAACCTCATTTTGTTTATGAGTGACCAAGTCCACTTTCACAAGCCACAAGCCCAGAACTCTGGACGAATTGAAGGGCGAAATTCGAGTGGAAGTCGCCCAAGTTAAGAGAGCGATGTTGGAGAGAGTCTACGCGAACTTCCAAGAACGCCTCCAGCACTGCATCAACGATTTCGGCCACCACATGCCTGATGTGATTTTCCACACTTGATGGTCTCAAATGCTATTTCCTTGTGAACCTCATTCCATCAATAAATTTGTTTTCGAGTAAAAATTAACCATTTTATGATTTTTTTAAAACCGTCCGTCCTCTCTGCCGCACCCTGCATTTTGTGCCTGATCCTTCATAGGATTTTTGTATGAAAGTTGAGGAGATATATTTTTCGGTTAAAAGAAATAAATATCGTAGTTGCTCTCGAATAGTTTTATTTATACCTGCCTCATATTCTGAACAGATTCCATTGATAATTGTTTATCCGAGGGTTAGAAGAAAAACAAATCGATTTTGGTATAATCTTTAATTCAGGGTAAAAATGAATGAAGATTTCCATCATACTTGCACATCAACCTCATAAGTAATAACAAAGATATACCGATCTGTGAATAATACTTGTGACATTTTCACACCAAAAGGCGACTTATTTCTCCAAAATATTATGCGTTTCCACTATCTGTTTGCTGAAAGATAAGTTAGTTTAATAAAATTATAATAAAACAAAATAATCATAGGTATCATTTTTAGTCACGCTGTGAATTATTTTATGAAAAGCTGGCTGATATTAAAAAAACGTAGTAAGTCTATGTCAAGTCAAGTAGCTTGATATTTCCATGAACTACTTGACAATAAAATTACTTGAAAAGCTAATGATTGATTTTTTTATAGTTTTACTTGAGATCAAGCATTTTCAAACTACTTGATACTGGATAGTAAATTATATTTTTGGTCTACTAAAAACCTTCAGAGATATTTATTCATACAACTTGAGCAAAAAAAACACGCAATCAGTAGATAATGTCGTTGAAACTCGATAGATTCAAGAACAAAATCGCTAGGGAAAAATAGTGAATCTCTATCTACTCGTATATCTATTCAGGTACCATTTACTCTGCGCCAAAACAACCAAGAACACTAAATCATCGCTTCTCAGACATTTATAGCTCGCTGGCCAACAGCGAGGTTAGATAGAATTTGGATGCATTTTAGGAGTCCAAACATGTTGCTTTTGCTTTTGTCAGGCAGACCAAAAACGGCCAGTCGTGAACAGCTATTTCGTGCTCTTTGTCTCTCGGACAAACAACGCAAGCATAGCAACAATACAATATCAAAAGTGCGAGATCTATCGAAACAAGACAGCACGAAGCGCCATCTATCGCTAGAGCTGACCACTGCAGGCAGTGAATAGTAGTGACTGTGTATTATAGATTCCAGTTCGCAGTTGGAGGCTCAGTCACCACGTGACCGCCAGCTCTCGTTGACAGTGTCGTACGATGTGTTATATCTTCAATTTTTTTACTTGACTACACTTACAATTAAGATTTCCATTACTTTCTGTTGTCCTCACTAGCGGCCTCTGCATAGAACTAGTTTCATGCCTCCTTTCAACACTGTAAGAATGGTATAATGAATTTATCTTTTATTTCTATTGATCTTAGGCTAAGGCATTTGTATCAAGCGTAACGAACCAAGTTCACTACTAGGGCAACATTAGACCTGAAAGTCGCAGCGGAAGATCATTCTTAACATACCTGTTACTACGAGAAGATGAACCAGATCTCTTGAATATTCCTGTGATTCTTTCTTTCAAATCCCTTTTGCTTCCTCTGGTATCTTCGCTGCTATCAGCGTGTGAGTTAGTCTGGATAAAAAAAACAGTCTCTACATATTCCAAAACATGTAAAAATATAACGTGTTCTTAAAGTTGGGGCTTTCCTTTACATTTTTCTAGTAAGACATACATCGAATTGGTGAGATAACCGCCGAGAAATTAGGTTCCGAAAATAAAAAATTCAATAAAACCGATTACAATTTTAATTAAACCAGCTAAAAAATTTAATCAACTATGTGACAGCTGACAAATTCAATTGATTTTAATTTCGATTTCTAACAGTTTACTTGAATCTGTGAAACTAGTTTAATTCAGCTAAAACGCAATCGTTTAATTGAATTTAATAACTCGTTTACTTAGATTAAGTATACCAATATACTTAACATTAATGAACTATCAATTTGAGCTCATCTGCTCCAAGTAAAACAATTTAATTATATCTGTTATATTTATTTTTGGTTAAAAGTAGTTGTCTATTTTATTTAGATTTAAAAGTATATTTGGATAATATTCAAACCATGGTTATGGGTCACCAAGCGCCTAATGCTCGAGTATTTCGCTTGATCGCGATGATTGATCCACCTTATACAGGGTTCGGCACAAAGGTCGGACGGTTTTGGAAAAATCACAAAATCGGTAATTTTTACTCAAAAACAAATTAATGATATACATGAACTAACTAAACAGTTTATTAAGACAGGTACATGATTTGCTAGTTTGAAGCTAATTAGTTTAACATTATTATATATTATGAATTAAACTATTTTAAAAAAATTAGTTTAATTAAGCCGAATAATTTAGTCACTTGGAATAATTAAACAAATTATTACGGATAATGAAAAATTTCCAGAACAACTGTTTAATTGACCACGTTTTCTCAATGCATATAAGATGTAACCTTGCCTTCATATCAGCGAAGATTAGGTGAAAAGATACGACGTGCGAAGTCAGGGTAAGTAAACCAAGCTGTTTGTTCATCAATCAGATATGGAAAAACCGAAAATACACGATCCTAAAGCAATAAGGAGCTTGTCTATTTGATGTGAGTTTACTGTGAGTTTTTCAAGATGGTATCGATGCATGATGAGTGTATTCAGATCGTTTTCCTGGACGTTTCCATCTCACGCCGCAGAAGTTTGCTTATCTCGTACAGAGGCCGCGTGCAAAAACATCGAAGTGGACGTAGTACAAGATCTAGAGCGGCTTCGAATCTTCAAAATTGAATAAGAAGCTTTCCACGTGTGTTTTTGCATAACGGCGACAAATTCTAACAGCCTTGAAACTACGTAACAGGTCAATAGTTTCTGTCTTCTGATTATCTCTACTGTATCGGAAAAGGAAAGTCACATCTTGTACAATGAATGGAAAGCGTCATTCACAAAAAAAATAAAATTAAATACCTTTGAAGAAAGTGGTCTCGTAGGCGAAAAGTTCTCTGGATCTTGATCGTCGATACTTCTGGACTTTGTCAACTTTTTCAGTTTGCCCATAATACCCTTCTTTTTCTTCTTTTCTCCTAATTCGCTCTGAGTTGATCCAGATGATAGTCTACTATCCAAGCTCGTATCTCTCCTTGATCTACTGGTTTCAATGTCAGAATGCGGCTCCAACGAATTGAGACTTGACATACCTTCAAATGACCATTTATTTTAAATTAAAGGGATATAGTTTTAATCAACTTGTTTTGAGGGATTTCCCTACGGACTCACAGTGGCCCCAAAGCGATGCGACTGGAAGTTGACTTTTGTTAAATAATTTATAAACAACACTGCCTCAACCCATTTGGTACCCAGATAGTGAGACTATATGAATCGAAAGTCAGATATCCTGATAATATATCTTATGCAAATGTGATTAAATATTCCTGTATTGTAATTCTTATGAAAAATCTGGTAACCCTAGTAAACTTGCAGTCGTCATGCAGGTGCTACAAAATTCCATCACCAGAAATAAAAATATATGGAGGTTGAATACAATATAAAACAGCAAAAATATGTTAATAACAGCTAGCGTTATAAAATCTTCCATATATCATTGGAAATGTGCACTATAAAATTAGACAACAGCCTGAGATTTATGCAAATTGCTGGCATCATCGCGTGTCGCTTTCATGCACAATCTGTCAATCACGTTGCATCCAGAAAAAAAAAATCGGCTTGGCACTGACATAAGTCAACCGTATTGCCCTGTGGGTAGCACGCAACTGTACCTTCTTCAGTGTAAATGTTTTGTGTCGCTACGCCACTGGCATACTAATTCTGGATGGAAGCAATTTATTCGTCTCCATTTTTGACTTACTGTTGTCGTTATTGGTCCAAATCTTCTGTTCGGCTTGCGTCGTGTGCTCCAAGGATAGACTCTTCCTTTTCAAACTATTTTCTGACCGCTTCCTCAACTGGGGCTGTCTGTACCTATAATCCGATCCCACCTCATGCTCCGTAGATGTAGCTCTTCTAGCACCCATCATTCTCCGAACCCTTTCTCTATCAACATCGGTTTGGATCTTCCTGATGTCCTCAGTAGCATGGACAAGTCTCTGCATCACGTACTGAATTTGTTGTTGCTTATCTTCTGGGGATAGTGATGATTCTCTTCTATCTAGAGCTGGTGATGTCTCTCGAGATTTTGATTTGGTACGTCGAGGCGGGGTTGGGGTATATGGAGCTTCGTTCTCTTTGGAGAAAAACAGCTCTGGAGCTAATTGCTTCAGTGTGTCCACCTGCTCAATTATCCTGGAAAATGCAACTAATATACAAGGAATCATAGAATAAAATAAATTATCAGGCAGTACGTCTACAAACCGGAATTCCCAAGCTTTTAGATTGGACACTTCACATATAAGTAATGACCAACAGCATGGCTTCACCGCAGGAAGACCAACTGCTATAAACTTAAAGCATAAGACCGTAAGACGGGTGCTTTTGTTGCTCGACATCATCAAAGCTCCTGGTCCGGACTTGATTCCTGCCATTGTACTGAAGAGGTGCGCAGCGGAGCTTGCTTCAGTTCCTTCGCGTCTCTTCCAGATATCTTACGAAGCCGGTACTTTCCCAGAAAACTGGAAATTTGCTCATATCCCATCCCAAAGAAGGGATCTAAGACCGACCCTTACAATTACAGACCTGTTTCTGTTATAAGTAAGGTGATGGAGGGGTACATAAATCTCGAGCGTCTGGTCTCCTCGAACTCACGGCTTGATTGGTGACAGCCAGTATGGTTTCCGGCACCAGCGATGCACAGGGGACCTCCTAGTTTACGTTATGCAGTTAAGGAGTAAGCTCATCCAGTCTTATGGTGAGGCTCATGTTATTGCTCATGATATCACGAAAGCGTTCGATCAGCTGTGGCACGCTGCCCTCTTATGCAAACTTCCATCCTATGGCCTCCCAAAGAAGCTTTGCAGATGGATGGCTGACTCTTTCTCTGGATGCAAGGTATCCGTAATTGACGGGTTCTCCTCTTCATCCCACAACGTCAACGCGGGTGTTCTCCAGGGATCGGTCTTGGCTCCGACACTGTTCCTGTCACTAATCAACGACCTCCTTTCCTGTACGATCAACCCCGTCCATCCAGAAATTGCGGATACGACCGCTCATTTGTCCCGAGGGTGTCGAAATTGTGGAACAATCAATCCTGGCATTTAGGCTTCTGCTTGCGCGGCTGCTTCGGTGTAAAAAAAACTTAAAGTAGACTCTATCTTCACGGATTATACGTAAGCTTTCGACAGAGTAAATTACGATTTCCTTTTGGCTAAATTAGAAAATTCTGGAGTATCAAGCAGTCAACTATCCTGGTTCAGAAGCTACCTGTCAGGACGAACACAGCGTGTCAGATACGCTGGATCATTATCATCAAGGTATACCCCCAAGGTTCTCACATTGGTCCAGTCTTATTCAATTTACTCATTAACGATGTTGCAGACTTTATATCAAATTGCAGTTATTTGATGTTTGCAGATGATCTTAAATTATTGAGAACAGTCAGAAATATCCACGATACGGAAATCTTACAAAGAGATCCCATAAATCTTACTCGGTTGAGTAATACTAACAATATTAACATCAATTTGCATAAATTCTGCTAAAAAAGCTTCAGCCGTAGTTAAAATTCCCTCGTGTATGGGAATATAAAGTTGAAAACCGTGACCTCCTGAGAACTGATACAGTTAGGGATTTAGGTATATATAAACACATTAGAGAAATTACTTCTAAATCACATTAAATATTGGGATACATTTTTATATAATCTCCCTGTAGACGTTTTTCGAATTTTTTATTACTCTTTGGTGAGTATTTTTGAGTAGAACACAGACACATATAGTTGATGACATTAATTCCATTGAAACAGTGCAAAATAAAAGAGTAAAACAGGCAACTATTAAAATGGGTCGGGGTCATGATGTTTCAGGACTAATGTATACGATGAACATATACGAGTACTCTTTGAAACATCGCAGGGAAGTTCTAACGGTTGTTTCAAATTCGCTAGATAAGAAAGTATGAAATGTGCTGGAAATCTGAAATACTGTTATACCTATTGACTTTCATTTCATCCTGGATATCCACTTTCTTTTGTCCACTGATAGTGTTTTTCATCTCTTCTCTTTCTCTCTCGTATCTTTCTTTTTCCCTCCTCAATTTTTCGTTGGTAGTCCTTAGCTTCGCATGAGCATCTCTAAGTTCCAAAAGATCGTATTGCAGTTCAGTAATTTTCTTTTTATTTTCATCTTGCTCTTCTTCAGAAGATTTTTTAACCTGGTCTTGTTTCCTTTTGGCCTCCAACCTTTCCTTATCTCTCTCCCTCTCAACTTCAAATAATGTTTGTCTCAAATCTCTCGCTAGTGTAGCAGTTTCTTGAAGCAACCGTTGTTGTTCTTCCCTTTCTTTTTGCCAAGCTAGTTCCATCCTCGTTCTCAAACCAACAATCTTCGTTCTGCCACTGTTAAGTACTTTTTCTTCCTCTAATTCGTTGACTTTGGAATGAAGTTCAGAAAGTTTTACCTCCCAAGTGGAGCGTTCTGACACCAGCTCTGTTTTCAGCCTTGAGCACTCTAGTCTTGCTTCTGATAGCTCGTCTTCCATGCAACTGATTTGTTGCTCCAATGTTGCTACCTTGGATTTGGACTCCTCGAGCTGGAAAGTGGAGCAATTATGACTGTACACTAAATATACAGGGTGTTTAAAAATAAATAAAAAAGTTTTTATAAATATGGGTCCAAAGGTGCTTCCGTGCCGAGATACAGAGTGCAGATAGAAGTTTTATTTACGGAATCGAAAACAAATTCTATTTACGAAGCAATAAGTACACAAGGTTTCCCGGCCCTGAATAACACAGGAACGTAGAAACTGGGGTACCTGCACCCCTAATAGGAACTATTTTTTTGGCCTTTTCAGAGAAGAAAGTGCATTTAATAAAATACCATTTAATTTTCCATAAATATTGGACCCATATTGCTATTATTTTTGCTCTGTCAAATGGTCTTTTTTTTCAAACTCCGATAGCCTGAATCTTGAAAACCAGACTTTCCACGATTCATGTTTTTACGAAAGTTTATACTTAAATTTGGGCCAGAAAAGCGGCTTTGTAATCACAGCCTATACTTGTACAGGGTGGCCAATATATAACTGACTGATTTAAATTGCACGCGATTTTTGATACACGCATTTCAGTAGGCGGCGCCGTGGTAGTTGTTTAAAGCAGGTAGTTCTCTTACTGTCACTGGCGAGCGCTACCGTGATATGGTGCAAATCTTTCTGGCTCCTCAAATGCAACAATTTAACCTGCAAAACATGTGGTTCCAACAGGACGCAGCAACTTGTCACACAGGATGTTTAATTTCTCGATTTGGTGATGTCAACTGGCCACCAAAGTCACCGGATTTAATGGCTACTGACTTTTTTATGGGGATTTTTGAAAAATAGGGCTTGTGCCAACAAACCAAATACTGTAGAGCAGCTGAAGAACAATACTACGGAAACGGTTTAAAATATTCCTCCCGAAACCTATCAAAAAGTGACGGAAAATGTAATCAAGAGGGATTAGGTTTACGTGGACATTTGTCTGATAATATTTTGCATACATAATTCCTAAGTTTCAATCCATATCGGCCACCCTGTACATACAAACCAGAATATCTAAAATTTAAGAAAAAATTATAACATGCTGTTTTACAACGGTACTACATTGTTCAGGGTATATGAAGAGACACCTGTCTCATCGAAAAGTATAAAAAAATTGCTGGGTAACTTTTTCATAAACTTCAAATTTAGAAAAATAACTTTTGCGCGTATATTCAAATAGTTATAAATTGCTGGTGAAACTGGACCAGCAAAAAGTAGTTGGAGGTGCAAATATTTTGAAAATGAGACCTTACACGACGTGTTTGCTGTAACGGTTGATTTGTTATTACAAAAAAAACGTCAAAAGTCTTCGATTTATTCTTTACCGGGAAATACATAACGGTAAATCTGGAATAATACCCAAAAATGATTTAAGACAATTCATTGGAAAAAGCCTAACGGTGTGTGCAAATTTTAGGAACTATTTTGACTTTGGTCAATCAGGTGGCCTCATTTGGCCCATTCTCTCTTAAAAATGCCGAAATTGAATGCCTTGGGATATCAAAGATCAATCATGGTTCAAAATACACATGTACTAAAATATATAAATGCAAAAATGTTAGTTACTTTCAAGGCTGAACCCTCTATTACAAAACTCTACATGTTGGGCAACATATACTAGACGTGCTGACAGACTGCAACATGCCTTAATGAATAATGATCCACTTACTTCATCGTAGTTTTTGGGGCCTTCTTTATGGGAATACGGATTTTGCTTCAGGTCCCCAATAGTTTTTTGAGCAGTTTGCAGCATGTGCTTATACGTATCTTTCTCCCGTTTGAACCTCATGACTTGATTCTGTAGTGATTGCAGTTCTCCATTTACAGCATTCAGTTGACTTTCGTATCTCATTTTGAGTTCAGCTAGGTCTGACTTCTTGTTTTTCTCAAAATTGTTGAGCTTCATACGTAACTGTTTAATTTCCATCTCCATTGCACTACTATCCGCGCTCATGTTTCTTTGCACCTATATAGAAAATATCGGGTTAGTTAATTTTCAAAAGGCGAAATCGCATCGTAATTGGGTAGGTTCACTTAGGGACGATGAATCTTCGACCTCTGCTATCTATCAAATTCCTATTTCCATAGCAGATGTAGGGAAAATATCTGTGATTTATCATGTCTTAATAATAGAAGGTCGTTCACTGACACCAAATATGCAACAATTTACAACCATTTACCGCATACAGCTTTCAACCTACAATTTTCATCCTCTCCAAACAATGTCTGGAAATGAGCAGGAATCTCTGAAACGTTGTAATACTATGTTCCAGCGATTTTATTTCCGTCGCCTCTGAATCAATTTCCAAAATCTACGACTACCTAAACGATGGAAGTATGAAACTTGCGATAATAATCGAACTTCGGTTCACAAATTTTCTGTTGCTTTAAGATTATACAAGTTCTTTTCTCTAATGTACATATGTCGGTTTGTCAGCCCGTGTCTGTTGTATATCAATATATCATAAGTACTGAGTTAATCTACTTGACGAAATATGCAGAGCACCATCATTATAGATGGAGTAACACAAATTAAAGGTTTGGTGAAATGGTGGTTATGTTAATTCTTACCTTATTAACTTTGTCATAATCGTCCAGTTTTTTCTTGAGCTCATCGTTTTCTCGTCTCATATACTCCATTTGGTCGTGTATGTTATCATGTTCTTTCTTCAATTGTTCGAACTCTGAAAGCTTCTCTTCCAGCAAAGCTTTGAGTCTTTGTCTATCCGATTCTCCTCCTTTCAATGATGACTTCGAAATCTCCTTAAACCGCGTCTCCAACTCGAGTTTTTCTTTGATCCACGTATCTTGTTTTACGTTGTAGTTGTCTCTAAGAGTTCTAAGTTCTCCTTCTATTTGCGTCATTTCTTTTTTCAAAGTTTTGAACTGTGATTCGATGGTTTCTTTTTCCATAACTAGTTTTGCTTTAGTAACAACATGCTCCTCTTCAAGAATCTCGTATTTCGCGGTAAGATCACTGTACTTTTTCTTTTCAGATGCTATGATCTTCTCTAGCTCTGCAAGTGCAAAACATGCAAGTTATACCAAATGTTTAGTTTTCTAATTAGTCCTTAATAAATACCATACTTTGGGTCCCTGGTTACTGTGGAGAGACTCATGTACAGTGTCGCCGATATGTGACTGACTGGTTTTTATCTTAAATATTTGTGAAATGAAATAAAATGCGTCCATTTTTTCATCTTAATTCTGAAGAACGATGTCTGGTAGACGTCTCAGAGCGCAAAATTGTCGTATCTGGGTGTCATCCAACAACGATCACTACATCCTCGTCGAGTCACAGTTTGGTGCGGTGTTCGATATGAAGGTGTCATTGGACTTTACTTATTCTCTTACTGTCACCGTGATATGGTGCAAAACTTTCTGGCTGCTCAAATCCAACAATTTAACCTACAAAACATGTGGTTCCAGCAGGTCGGAGCAACTTGTCACACAGCTAGGGAAACAATGAATCTTTTGCGAACAATATTTCCGGGACTTTTAATTTCTCGATTTGGTGATGTCAACTGGCCACCAAGGTCACCGGATTTGACGGCTCCTGACTTTTTATGACAAACCAAATACTGTCTGGCAGCTGAAGAACAATATTACGGAAGCGATTGAAAATATTTCTCCCGAAACCTACCAAAAAGTGATCGAAAATGTAATCAAGAAGGCTCAGGGACGTTTGTCTGATATTATTTTTCATACATAATTTCTAAGTTTCAATAAAATATTAAGAAGAAAAAATGGTTGTATTTTATTTCATTTCACAAATATTGAAGATACAAACCAGTCAGTTACATATCGGCCGCCCTGTATATAGCTACGTGTAGTATGTATGACGTCACTGCTGGACGTGAACGCATGAGCACGGTGTTATTCAGCGTGTCACAAAGAAAATACCCCAATTTCCTCAAATTTCGAGTATCGGTATTGAGATGATTCTTTCGAATCTGCCAAATGCAGCAGTTATACGTAGCGTATTCTAATAAAATAAGAAACTTTCTAATTCCATGACCTGCTGAGCCTAGTAGTACTGGTTATTTGTTCTTTACTTACTTTCAATTGTTGCTTGTAGAGCTTTGATTTCGGGAGTGCCTCCTCCGTTGTTTTCTAATTTCCTGATTTTATCTCTTAATATCGACAATTCGAGTTCCCTATTCTTTTGCTCTTTTTCTTGATTGTTTTTGGCCACATCCAATTTTTTACGTTCATTCTGAAACCAACGAATATTAGATCGATAAGGAATAATTGAATGTTAATTACCTGTAAATCAATTTCTAGCTCCTTAATTTTCTTCTCATTTTCCAATTTTGCATTTTTTGTTTCATTTTGAGCTTTGGTGAGTTTATCCTCTAGAGTCTTTTGAAACTTATTGGAACTCTCTAATTTGGATTCAATATCTGAAACACGAGCTTTGCTCCTGGTAAGCTCATCTTTCAGTCTGTTGATTTCTGCACTTTCAAGCTCTTCAGCTTTCAGACTAGTCTTCGATAGTAATTCCTTTTCTTTCGCTAATCTAATTTCCTGAAAAAAATATTGGATTGTCTAAAATGAACAATGAAGTTTTTCTTTAGCTCACCAGTTGTTTGGCTAATTTGTCTTTTTGTTCTATTATATTTTCCAATCCTCTAACATTCTCGTGCAGGCTATCTATCTGACTTGCCAGCTTTCTTTTTTCTTCTTCCCAATTCGTCTTGTCTGCCTCCAGACTTTTTGCTTTTTGCTTCTCTTTCTCTAACTGAAAGTTAAAAATTGTGTTATTTTTTAAGTCCATAGTAGTTTATCTCAAAATTCATGATTTACACTTTTCCTGTAGATCATGGTACGAGGGATGTCTTTTAAGTTTTGCATATGGAAATAAAACAACACTTTAGGTAGTTTTAAATGACTTTATTCTTTTTCAAAGTATTCTCCATGAAGATTAATACACATCTGCATGCGCTCGAACCAATTTTCGAAGCACTTATTTAACTCGTTTGCTGGCAGATCCAAAACGGCAATTTTGAATGCGTCAACTGCTTCTTCTGGTGACTGGAACCTTTGACCACGCAGTCTGTTTTTAATTTTCGGTAAAGTAAAGAAGTCGTTAGGACTTAAATCGGGACTATATGGAGGATGATCCAATAATTCCACGTTTTCTTCCGTTAAATACTGCCTTGTTTTTTTCGCTGTGTGCGAGGTTGCATTGTCTTGGTGCAGGATGATTCTTCTTTCGGGGTTGATTTTTCGAAGCTCGGTGATGACTTTTGGCAAACAAATAGTGGTATACCAATCCGCAGTAACAGTTCTTTGCTCATTAAGAGGAATTGTTGCAATATGACCCGCTTCTGACACAAATGTCGCGACCATCTTTTTCGAAGCACTTCGAGAACGGATGACTTTTGTTGGCTTTTCTTCACCTTAGAACACCCAAACCGTCGACTGTCGTTTATTTTCTGGTTCATAACAGTGAATCCACGATTCATCACTACTAACAATGCTGTACAGATTTCTTGAGTTTCCGGAATTGAAACAGTTAAGCGTTTTTTGACACCAATTAACCCTGGCTGCTTTCTGCTCTTCAGTCAACAGGTGGAGTATTCAACGATAAACTAATTTTCTTACTCCTAATTCTTCATGTAACATTTTTTGAATTGAGGTCTTTGAGATCTTCAAGGACGTCTCAATCTCGCGATATGTCACATGTCTATCTTCAATGATGAGTTTGCGCACAGCATCGACGTTTTCCTGGGTGACTGCCGTTGTTGGTGCACCCACCCTGGGATCGTCGCTAAGACTCACCCGTCCACGTTTGAATTCTCCATACCAACGGAAAATTGTCGACTGGACAAGGCATTCTTGTTGCGATAATTGTCGCCGAAAGTTGTAATAAATTATGGCGCGAAAATGTTCTCGATTGAGTTCCATTTTTCTAATGACTTGGTGACACTTAAAAATTCACTGTAGTGAGAACACTGCACGTATTGTTGTGAAACTTGGAATTTAAGTTTACTAAAGAGTGAGGTTAAGATTCAGTACTGACGTTCAATCCGCGCGGCTTACTATGTTTCTATATGCAAAACTTAAAAGAAATCCCTCGTACTAGAAGCCGGAATACACGTTTATTCTTGAATAATCCACAATAAAGAGGTTAGAAAGTATTTGTCGATCAGAGGTTCTTGCTGGATTCAATTCGATACTATAGGCATGTATCTGAGAAGACACCGGGACACATCTCGTATTCTGTATTAACCAAAGATTTGCATCTATTCGGGCTCTAATAGTAGCAGCGTAACTAACCCTACTCTCAGCAGTCTTAATTTGTTCTTGTAGCTTCTTCATACCCTCATTGGTTAAACTTAACTGGGCCTCCAAATCAGATATCCTTTTACTCTTCTCGGAAATCTACAAGTAAAAATACTGAATGATTTGTGATAAAAAGTTTGAAATCAGCAACCTCACTGGTTATTTTACTCTTTTCTTCTTTCAACTTTTTCACTTCTTTCTCTTTGATTTCCAGTGAAGCTTTCAAATTATCAGTTTCATTTTGTTTGTTTGTCAAGGTTTCTGAAAAAAGTAAATATTAAGAAACGTCTAATAGCTGTTAATTAGAACTTACTGATGTTGGCCTTAAGTTTAGAAACTTCGTCGTCCAAATCCTTCTTTTCGCTGGCAAACTTTGCTTTTTCGTTGTTCATTTTATCAATTTGACTCTCAAGAGACAGATTTTCTTTCGTCGCTTTTTCAAGGTTCTCTTTAGCCTTTTTCAAAGTTCTGTTCAACTCCTCTATATCTTTACCAGCTTTGGATTTCTCTGCTTCAAGGTCTTTTTTGGTAGAATCGTATTTCTTGTTCAAATCTTCAAGATCTTTAATAGCAGATTTGACTTCTTCCTCTAATTTTATTTTTGCATTCTCATTCGACTTCATAGCTGTCAAAATTTCTTCGATTTCTTTTTCCAAGTCACCCACCATATTTTTCAATTGGTCTTTGGAAGTAAGAGCAGTTACTCTTTTTGGGGTTCTTTGGATGAATTTTTTCAAGTCTCCCTAAAGTAAAAAAAAAATAATCAATAACTTGAAAATTCTTTCATTTTTGCTACTTGCCTTTAGTTCTAAGCCTAGATTATTTCCACCACTAAGAAGTTTTGTTTCAAGTTCCTTAATTTTAGCGTCTCGCTCGCTTAAATCTACTTCAAGTGAAGCAATTTGGTCTATGTATTTATCTAGATTTTTATCTGCCTTAGCTGACTTTGTACTTTTAAGCAAAGTTAATCTTCTGTTTTCAGCATTTAGTTTTTCATTTTCAGACTCTAGGGTTTGTACTTTGTTTCTTAAAACAGAAGCTTCTTGTTCTATCACTTGCAACTGCCTTCTTAAATCTAATGCTTGTTGATCAAGTTCCAAAGACCTAGAACGTAAGAATTGCTTTGAAGAATTTAATTTGGTAGTTGGGGTTCATTTGTTTGTTGCAAGGTACAAAATCTAAAAAGTACGATTCAGCAGTTTTTGCCGCGCAGGCAGAAGCCTAAATGCCGGAACAACGCGGCTGCTATGTTGATCCCATAGAAATTTTGTTAATACGACTTTTGAACTGCCTAAGGTTAGTAGAACTGGGAAAAGCCTCCTCTTGTAGATTGTTCCACAATCTCGACACCCTCGGGACAAAAGAGCGGTCGAATCGGCCTGTTCTGGATGTACGAAGTTCGACATGGTTAGAATGGGACGCCAAAGTCAGGCGGGTGTGTCTGGCAGGCAAATCGCGCGGCGGCATCATGGAAGAGAGCTCTGAGGAGCAAAGCCTGTTGGTGTAGCGGTAGAAGAGAGCTAGATCGCCGACGGCCCGCCGGTGCGAAAGAGTCCCGAGACTGTCTGTTAGAGAAGAGTCATCGATCAGTCGGACCGCCTTCCTCCGGACAGCATCGAGCATGGATAATGTAGTCGGGGCAGCAGCACCCCAAACGTGTGAGCAATACTCGAGGCTAGGCCTTATCTGGACCTTGTATAGAGTGAGAAGGTCATGTGGAGAAAAGTGCTTCTTAGTCCTAAACAAATAGCTTAGCTTTTTCCCAGCAGCTGCAGCTATTGACGAGATGTGTTCGTGCCAAATCAGGTCCTCGATGATCTGGACTCCGACCAGCCGAAAGGAATGGCTCTTTGGCAGAAGTCGGCCGTCCACCGAAACTGGATGAGCGGTAGGACGCTTTTTGTTCGTCAAAGTACAGTAATGTGTTTTGGAAGCATTGAACTGTACAAGATTGTTGCGTCCCCAAGCAGTGATAGCCTCCAGGTCTCTTGTCGGAGAGGAAGTCGTCGCTAGTCTTCCTTTTTCCAGCTCAGCGGCAGAGATCCACTTGTCGTCGTTCCTGCATGTAGAGTGCTGTCATCAGCAAAGCTGTGGATTAGGTTAACCGTACAGGAAAGGAGATCGTTGACATTTAAGAGGAATAGTATCGAAGCCAAGACCGATCCCTGGGGAACACCCGCGTTGACGTTGTGGAATGAAGAGGAGAACCCGTCAGTTACGACGGATATCTTGCGGGCAGAGATAAAGTCAGTCACCCATCTGCAAAGTTTTTCTGGGAGGCCATAGGATTAAAGTTTGCTTAAGAGTGCAGCGTGCCACAGCTGATCCAATGCTTTCGTGATGTCACGAGCAACGACATGTGCCTCACCATAAGATTGGATGAGTTTACTCCACAATTGCGTGACGTAAGCTAGGCGGTCCCCTGTGGATCGTTGGTGCCGGAAACCATACTGCCTGTCGCTAATCAAGCTGTTACGTTCGAGGTAGTCCAGAAGCTCGTGATTTATGCACCCCTCCACCACCTTACTTATTACAGAAAGCAGAGCTATAGGCCTGTAGTTGTAAGGGTCGGTCTTAGATCCTTTTTTTTGGGATGGGTTGGACATGAGCAAATTTCCAGTTTTCTGGGAAGGTGCCGGATTCATAAGATATCTGGAAGAGACGCAAAAGAACTGGAGCAAGCTCCGCTGCACACCGCTTCAGTACAATGGCAGGAATCAAGTCCGGACCAGAAGCTTTGTTGATGTCGAGCGACAAGAGCACTCGTCTTACGGTCTTATGCCTGAATGTTACCTCCCGCATAGTGCAGGGAACCCTTTGAATTGACAGCACTTGGGCACTGGGAGAGGGGGGGGGACGTCCATGGTGGAGTTGGCAGCAAAGATCTTGGCTAGCACTTCCGCGTTGGCCTTTGAGTCGAATACAATAATTCCCTCCTGACACTTAAGTGGTGGAAGGCTACTGTGTGAGAAGTTCTTTTCAATCTGCTTGGCCAGCGTCCAAAAAGACCGACTGACATTGCGCTGCGACATTACCCTGTGCCTAACTTTTATATCGTGCTGGTTTTTGGCATGTTCTGTCGTACCAGCTATTTCCTGATTTTTGTGAGGGCACTTGTTTTCATGCCTGATGTTTCAGGGACTAGAAACAACAAAAACTTCAAAGCACAAAGTAATATGACATATATATATATATATATACAGGATGCTTACTTGCTCTTTTGCATTCCTTTTGACCTTTTTTGGGTAATACTGAGTTCTGCATGCAATCTTTCACAGTCTCTCTCCTTTTCTATCAATTTTTTCCTAATATCATTTGTCTCCTCCTCTAAAACCTAAAACCAACCAACTTTATTATAATCAAAAGCCCTACTATAATTTTAGTAATAAAATAATTAGTTAATCCACTTTTACCTTGATCTTCTCATTTAAGAGAGCATTATCTTTTCCACTTTTGGTTCCAATCACTGTCTTCTTAGTGACACTTCGTGTAGATATTTGATCTTGCAAATCTTTCACTTTCGTTTTCAACTTCATATTATCACTTTGCAGGTCTTCAATTTTCTTGCGAAGTACCGATGCTTCTTGTTCGCTTAGTTCTAATTGAAGTTTTAATTCTGCTGGGTCTTCATCATCAGTTTCTGGTTTTGCAGATGGTTCTGGGCCTAGTTTTTGGTTCGTTGGACTCAGCTTTCGTGCTATCAATAAAACCAAGTCATTACTCTAGTAGGTTTTGTAGTCGAAAAAACGGAAACCGACTATAGCTCTTGTCACCAAGAGACCAACATTTTTGAAAACAACATTATTAACAAAAATTACACGTAAAGCTTCCTAATTGTATTTCTGAAAGATTTTTGCACTTTGTCCAATAAATCGTTTCTTATTGAGTTGCAGTAAACTGAACTTGATAGCTTTAGATGGTCCCGTTTGTTATAACCTAGGTAGCTAAAGTCTGGAGATCGAGGAGGTCATAAGTGGGATCCAAGATCTTCCTTGACGATCTCCGTGTGTTTGTGTTAAAAATCTATGAAAACCCTTACGTGAAGGGATGGCCCTGGTACATTTGCAATAGTTCGGCAGTCTAAAACGAGGAGATTGAACTTCTGTATTATGTCTGAATGTCTTATTTTGAACAATTTTTGTAGATTGAGAAGCTTCACATATGATTTTTGGCTACTAAATCGTAATTTTTCGAAAAATATGTCCTGCGTCATCGAAACGAAGAGGATTTTTGACCCACAATTAGAAAACATCCTGCTTCACAGCAACTGCAGAAAATGGCTAATGTTAATAGTGCTTACTCGTCTTTAAGAGCTTTGAAATTGGGTTATACTGATTGGAAGAGGTGGTTAAACATCTTACAGCTTAAGCTATTTTTTTATACTTATTGAAGTATTGAAGCAATGAAACGTATTAAAACTTTAGATGTGAGCACAATGAATTTAACAAATGCTGTTAATACAAATTGTTAGTGGCAGACTTGAGGACATACTTCGAGCTCTTGTAGCCATTTTCTTTAGCTGCAGTACTAAAGACTCGTTATCATCTTCGATTCTGGATACTTTTTTACGCAAGTTTTCTCCCTGAAATATATAAGCTATCGTTATTTCTGATGAATTATGATTTGTCATGGACCTACTCGGTATTATGTCTTGGAGTAGACTAGGAAATTAAGAACCGATAATACTACCAGTGATTTTCGGGACTTTACGGTCGAATTCAGTTTTGATAATTTAGGGTCACATTATTTGGTAGGCGTTCCTTTAGGTTTGAGTAGCGTTTAAGGAACGATCTCTCCTTAGCTTTCAAACAAAAAGCAATGCTTCATTGAATAATGTTTATGGGAAGATTCATTTGCAGTTCACAGTCCTCACAGGCGTTCAAAATGTCGAGAGTTTTCAAAACTACAAAAATTTTCAAAATACTCATGACATTGAAAATTGTGAACATTTTGAAAATTTCAAAAATCAAGTTTACACAGTTTTGAATGGTTTGAAAATTTTGGAAATACTGAAAATTTTGAAAACTTTTAAAGTATTGAAAACTCTGAAAAGCTTGATAATGTAAAATTTCAACAGTTTTGGTAGTTTTGCAAACCTTGATAATTGTGCAAACTCCAAAAATATTTAAGATATTTCAAGTTGTATTGAAAATTTTCGAAACGTAAGTTTTCACAAATTTGAGTGGTTTAAAAATTTCGAAAATACTTAAAAGTTTAAAAATGTTCAAAGGCTTTGAATATTTGGAATATCTTGAAAAATTTTAAAATATTCAAAAGTTTGATAAACAATTTAAAATTTTAAGAGTTCTGATAATTGTGCGAATGCATATTTCAAATGTCATAAAAAATTGTGAACATTTTGAAAATTGAAATTTGACAATTTTAAATAGTTCGAAATTTTTTAAAATTTTCAATATTTTGGATATCTTGCAAATTTATGAAATATTGAAAGTTCTGAAAATTTCATTAATCCAGAATTTTTAAGTTTTAGTAGATTTGAAAATAAATGTAAGCTCATAAAACGAAAACAAATGAAGTTCGATATTACCTAACTAATAAAAAATAAAACTCAGCTCTTTAAATAGAAAACATGTCTCGTCTTGCCGGATTTTATTTACACAGATGTACGTAAAACAAGTAGGGAATGTAACTGTAACGTACTTATCAATTTTCTTGATCACTTGAGAACTGTAAGATAAACTGTAAAACTGAAAAACTGTTTTTGTAATTTATCGGACAGAGTTGACAATTTATTGAAGACTCTTCGAAGGTTTTCGAACGACTCCTCAGGACTAACATTCAGTCCAGATAAAATAGACTGTTCTTTCTCAATTCCAAATCTTTATATACTAAGTGACATATAAATCCGAACACCCAGTTTAAATGGTTTTATTTTAATAAAATTTTGTATAAGTACTTAATGAAGCATAATAAGTAAATGATAAAAATTTCAAAATGATTGCACTGCTTTAAAGCCCTTTGACCTTTAATAATGTGTGGATGCACCCTGATGTGCTACGCATTCTCCAACGCGCCTAGGCATGCTTCTGATCAGGCGGTCAATGTCCTCCTGTGGTATCTCATTCCAGGCAAGCACCAACTCCTCTCGAAGTGCTTCTAGAGTCTGAGGAGGACGTTGCAAATTGAGCAATCTCCTACCCATCATATCCCACACGTGCTCAATTGGGGATAAGTCGGGAGATCTTGGTGGCCATGGTAACAATGTGACATCATTATGTTGAAAGAAGTCTATTGTGACTCTTGCAACATGTGGTCGGGATTATCTTGTTGGAAAGTTGAATCTGCCAGGGTGTCAAGATAGGGTAAAAGATGGGGTTCTAGAACTTCGTGGATATAACGCTGCGCGTTCATGTTACCTTTGATGAAGATTAAAGGTCCCCTGGAACCATAAGCTATAGCACCCCAAACCATAACTCCAACAGTGTGATGAACATGTCTTTCAACAAAAAACTGTGGATTCCTCCTTTCACCACGTCGCCTTCTAACCCTGGCACGACCATCGTGCATGCCTAAACAAAATCGAGACTCGCCACTAAAGACAATACTGTTCCATTCCTGATCCCAGAGTGACCGTTGTCTGCGCCACTCAAGGCGATTACGTCGGTGTAAGGGTTAGAAGGCGACGTGGTGAAAGGAGGAATCCACAGTTTTTTGTTGAAAGACATGTTCATCACACTGTTGGAGTTATGGTTTGGGGTGCTATAGCTTATGGTTCCAGGTCACCTTTAATCTTCATCAGACTTTCCAACAAGATAATGCCCGACCACATGTTGCAAGAGTCACAATAGACTTCTTTCAACATAATGATGTCACATTGTTACCATGGCCACCAAGATCTCCCGACTTATCCCCAATTGAGCACGTGTGGGATATGATGGGTAGGAGATTGCTCAATTTGCAACGTCCTCCTCAGACACTAGAAGCACTTCGAGAGGAGTTGGTGGTTGCCTGGAATGAGGTACCACAGGAGGACATTGACCACCTGATCAGAAGCATGCCTAGGCACGTTGGAGAATGCGTGGCACATCAGGGTGCATCCACACATTATTAAAGGTCAAAGGGCTTTAAAGCAGTGTATTATGCTTCATTAAGTACTTATACAAAATTTCATTAAAATAAAATCATTTAAACGGGGTGTTCGGATTTATATGGCACTTAGTATAAAATTGTTAGCCCATTTAGTGTTTTTAACGGAGTTCGACTACATAATCCCCGACACTTTCGGTACTGAAATTTTCTAGTGTAGACGTACAGACCTGGATCTAGAGAGGACAATAATATAAAGTGTTTATATTTAAAAAAATATTGTTGGTCAAGCACTTGCCGGAACTTTCGAAGTACCTGCGAAAGTATTCGTTATACCTCCGAATAGTCGAAGCATTGATCGAAAAAATGTATGCAAGCCTGTCAGTTTTCAAATCCAAAGTAGTTTTGAGTTATATCTTGCAAGACAGATGATATCTCAGTTACGTACCTCTTCCTCAGCAAATTTGAGCTGTTCTCTAAGATCAGCTTCTCTTTCTAATGAGTCCTGCAGATCTCTCAGCAGCTGTGCTGGATCTTCTTGAGAGCCTCCTCTTGTCAGAGACTCCCTAGATACTTTCTGAAAATTTTCAAAAACCATTGCATCATGGGAGTGTATATCTGTGTAAATGGCAACATTGGCTTGATACTGCCCGTCCGGTAGCGTCTTAAAATTTAAACTCCTCATGGTGCTTCAGTGTATTTACTTATTTGTTTATTTATTTATACATAATTGGACAACAGGCTAATAACTACAGGGCAATATAATGGTACCTTGACAAAAAAAAATTTCTACCGAAGTAGCCGCACAGGCAAAAGCCTAGATGCCGGGACACCGCGGCTGCTATGAAGATCCCAAATAATTTTTTTTAATCTGATTTTTAAACTGACTAAGGTTAGTAGAATTAGGAAACGCCTCCCCTTGTAGATTCTTCCACAATCTCGATACCCACGGGATAAATTAGCGGTCGTATCGTCCAGTTCTAGATGCATGAAGTTCGACTCGGTTAGGATGGGAGGTCAAAGTCAGGAGGGTCTGTCTGGCAGGCACATCGCGCGGCGGCATCATGAAAGAGAGCTCTGAGGAGCAAGGCCCGTCGGTGTAGCGGTAGAAGAGAGCTAGATCGCCGATGGCCCGCCGGTGCGAAAAGGTCCCGAGACTGTCTGTAGTCTGTAATAATGTAGTCGGGGCGGTAGCACCCCAAACGTGTGAGCACTACTCGAAGATGCGTCTTATCTGGGTCTTGTATAGAGTCAGGAGGTCACATGGAGAAAAGTACTTCTTAGTCCTAAATGAATAGCCTAGCTTTTTCCCAGCAGCAGCCGCTTTTGACGTGCTAGATCAAGTCCTCGGTGATCTGGACTCCGACCAGCCGAAATGAATGGCTCTTTGGCAAAACTCGGCCATCCATCGAAACTGGATGAGCGCTAGGACGCTTTTTGTTCGTCAAGGTACAGTACTGTGTTTTAGAAGCATTAAACTGTACAGCTTGTTGCGTCCCCAAGCAGTGATTACCTCCAGGTCTCTAGTCAAAGAGGAAGTCATCGCTAGTCTTATTTTTTCCTGCTCAACGGTAGAGATCGGCTTGTCACTCTGAATTCCTGCATGTAGAGTGCTGTCATCATCGAAGCTGTGGATTGGGTTGATCGTGCAGGAAAGGATGTCGGTGATATGTAAGAGGAACAGAGTCGGAGCCAAGACCGATCCCTGGGGAACTCCCGCGTTGGCGTTGTGGGATGAAGAGGAGAAGCCGTCAATTATGACGGATATCTTACGACCAGAGAGAAAGTCAGCCACCCATCAGCAAAGCTTTTCTGCTAGGCCATAGGATGGAAGTTGCCACAGCTGTTCGAACGCTTTCGTGATATCAAGAGCAAGACATGAGTCTCACTATAAGACTGGATGAGTTTACTCCACAAGCTAGGAGATCCCCTGTGGATCGTTGGTGCTGGAAACAATACTTTCTGTCGCTAATCAAGCTGTGACGTTCGCGATGGTCCAGAAGCTCGCGATTTATGCTCCTCTCCATCACCTTACTTATACCAGAAAGCAGAGCTATAGGCCTGTAGTTGTAAGGGTCGGTCTTAGATCCTTTTTTTTGGGATGGCTTGGACATGAGCAAATTTACAGTTTTCTGGGAAGGAGCCGGATTCATAAGATATCTGGAAGAGACGCGAAAGAACTAGAGTAAGGTCCTCTGCACACCTCTTCAGTACAATGGCAGGGAACAAGTCCGGACCAGAAGCTTTGTTGATGTCGAGCGACAAGAGAACTCGTCTTGCGGTCTTATGCCTGAATGCTACTTCCCGCATAGGATAGGGACTTCTTTGAATCAACGGCACTTGGGCGTTGGAGGGGAAGTCCATGGTGACACGTAAGTGCTGAAAAGCTACTGTGTGAGAAGTTCTTTCCAATCTGCTTAACCAGCGTCTAGAAAGACCGACTGCCATTGCGCTGCGACATTACCCCGTGTCTAACTTTTATATCGTGCTGGTCTTTGGCATTGCGAACCGCTTGGTTATATTTGTCTCTGGACTCGACCTTGGCTTGTCTGTTCTCTACAGTGGGGTTTTGTAAGAAGGTTCTGTGTGTCTTGATCTTCTGCTGGCCAGTATTGTCACACGACTTCTTGGCCCCTGGCTTAGGCACTTTCACTGTATGAAGGATGTATTCCTCCAACCCGACGTGGATAATTTCGACTATCGAAGAACAGACAGCCGATGCATCCGCATCAGCAAAACAAACATCTCTCCAAGGAAAGTTAGCGAAGAAGTCTCTGAGCCCTTCCCAGTCGACATGTCGGTAATTCCAAATTTTGCGGCCTGGGCGAGGTTCTGCTGCCACCGCGGATTCTGACAGAAACCTAACCTCCACAGCACCGTAGTCTGACTTACCCAGGGGGGACAGGACAGCCGTGCTGTGAGGAATAGGCTGCGTGGCCAGAAAGAGATCCAGCAGGCTACTGGCATATGACGAGACGCGTGGAAAAAGTAGGGCTAATCACAAGCTTGAGTAAGAGCGAACGCTTCAACTACACGACCTGCTGCATCGGTATTGTTTGAGCTCAACCGAAGCTCATTATGGGCATTGACATCACCGAGGAGAACTACCTCTGAAGCGGGGTGATTGATGTTCAGGAAGTCGATCTTCACAGCGAGGTATTTATGGTAAGTCATCCGAGTTATGATCCGAGGGAGAGCGATAAAGGCAGCAAATAAAGTTGGGGGATGTTTTGAAGTTGAGGCGAAGCGACTGAATATCCTTTCGGTCTGATTCCAAAGAAACATCTCGATCAGGAAAGACTGCTGAGGACATAAGCCACAACTCCTCCGTTCTTCCACAGATTGAAATGCACCTCGTAATTTGGGAAGCTAAGATGGTTAATCGGTGCAGACTCTGCTAAGAAAAGAAGGGCGGGAAGATTGGATGGCAAGTAGTGATGAACAGCATCAATATTGATGTTAATTCCGCAGATCTTCGTGAAGCAAATTTCATCTCCGATGTTGTTCTCTAGAGTCCACCCTTCACCCGGACATTCCGGGAGTGAAGTGAGTTTACGTCCGGAATTCTTCGTACTCGAGGATCCATCATCATTCATTTCTTTGTTGGGGAAGATAACTGACTACGTAGCTTAGCTATGGAAACATGCGGACATTTATAAGATACCCTGTGACAAGCTAGCGGGTGGTACTGCCTAGGTCGACTGGTCCTTGTCTACCACCTCCTCTTTTCGTGTTGATGTGTTGATGATGTTAGATAGAGTTAAAGTGGGCTGTTGGCGGACTTGTACCGTTACCCGGCAATCGGTACTGAGGTATTCCCTAACGCGTGCACAATCACTTGAACGGAATAATTTGTATACTGGATACAACAAGTTGCGGAACAAGCATTTGCCACGGCCCCCGCTCTGTAGGGGTCAAATAGTGTGTCTACAAGAACCATATAAAACGGTCATAAAAATAGCGATTGTAATAGTCGATGAAGTTTGACAAGTTACTACTGATTAACTACTAATTATGAAATTGATGACAAAACTGCCTACTATTGAATTGATTAAAGCATATAGAATATAGGGGCGATGAAAATAATACGTTGGTACTGCAGTAGATAGACTCTAGGTTGGAACGTCACAGCGGAATAAATTGGCTGGCCCCCTTCCTGGATATACGCCATCAGTTTTATAAGTATAACATTTAAGAAATTTTCATTGTACATTTTCTAAGATGTGTATATAATATGCATGGAAAAAGTTCCATAGTGTACTCAAGTTTTGGTCGCACCAGCGAAATAAAAAGAGTTTTAATTCTGCTTCGTTTGAAAAAGATCGGCAGTTACGCATTTTAAACCCTAGAATCGGAAGTGACGCGTGCTACATGGTCAGAATAATCCAACCTGCATTATTTATAGGATAATCAAAGATAATCAAGTTTATTTTACGACTATACGAACCAACTTTACAATTGGAAATGCTTAAGAGGAGAAAGTTATTGTCACACCAAACTGTGTGATAGTATCTACGAAGGGAAATACAGTTGTATAATATTAATGATATCATGCTGTATTTTATTATTCATGATGATGATTCGGTTGGATGTCATACCTACCTCGTCTCCAGAGTGGCTCTTTCCGATTGAACCTAGCATCGGTGCTTTTTTTTTGTTTGAGCCCTTGGTGTCATCAGTTTTGTTTCCCTTGGTCTTGGTTTCATCAAGTTCTTTTTGTAACCTCATTGAAACTTCATTTGCAATTTTAAGCTCTTGCTCTAATTGCTTGATCCTGTCGATTTGGTTCAAAGTCGTACCACTGCCTGGAATCTATAGAGGCACACCCGCCATAAATTAGAAAATATGTGATTGTGTAGTTGTTTTTATTGAAACGTAATTGGTTTCAGGGATATTTTATTATGTGAATACACACTTAATCGTAATAAAAATTGGGAATCAAAATAGAATGATTGAAAAAATCTACACCCGGTGATGATCTTTCAGTTCCCATTACTAGAAATTTCAATTGTACCACACCGCCCTATCCATCTGCTCGGTTATTCTGTATCAAGATGATGTGTTGTATTCATAAAACAAAGGATATCCTTGTACTACTTGCAAAGTTTGAAGGAAATCCTCCAGATGGTATTTATAATAATTTGAACTAAATGCTTTTGCAGTGACATAAGTGAAAGGATATTCATAATCTTCACCTTAAACTTGGCATAGGAAGTATATCCTTCAAAAGTTCTGAGTGCGGTCAGTAGCAGACTTTGTAACGAAAGGTGGTCAAACGATAATGGAAAAAATTGTGGATGTTAGGGATGTTAAAACGTACAAACCCCGTTTACCTTCACTTGGTCGTGACCTCAAAAAATTATATCGATTCGACGAAGCAAATTTACACTGGCTTGCGGACAGATTTTTAGTTGAGAATGAGGAAACTCGAGTAGGAGCACTTTCATGTATTCATAAAATGAAGATATGTCTACGCTATCTCGGTGACTCTGGATAAGAACAAGGTATTGGTCAGGAACTTGGTGTTAGTCAAGCAACGGTAACTCGGACTGTCGATAGAGTTGTGAACAGCATAGTTCCACAGTCGAACGAATGGATCAAGTTTCCAACTACCAACCATGAACTGATGGAGGCCAAGCGGATATGGCAAAGCATGTATAAATTTCTGACAGCAATTGGTGTAATTGATTGTACACATATAGGAATCCTGAAACCAAATCTCCATGGAGATGAGTATTTCAACTGAAAAGGGAAACCTACTTTAAATGTGCAAGCCACTTGTGATGCCAGAGAGATGTTCACAAGTGTTAATGTCAGTTTATCTGGATCAGTGCATGATTCCAGAATATGTAGAAATTCACAGACTAGATCACAACTAATAAATAAAGCAAATGTTGTACTACTTGACGATGACGGTTATGGTATTGAGCCGTGCCTTATGACTCCCTTCAGAAATCCTACTCCAGGTGCAGAAATAAATTATAATCAGATTTTAAAACAAGAAAGAGTTATAATTGAACGCCGTTTCGGCCAACTGAAACGCCAGTTTCCTATCCTACCGTATGTTTGCCGCGTAAAGTTGGAAAATGTGCCGAAAATAATTATTGCTTGTATTGTACTCCATAATGTTGCGAAGAGCTTGGGCGATCCTGACTTTGAGTTAATTAAACAAGACCCAGATGAAGATGAAGGAAATCATGAGAATTACGAACTTCCCCTCCACTAGGTCAACAAATAAGAAGAAACTTGAGTATTATAATAAATAGTTTTAAAGTGTATTTATAAGTTATAATAAGTTTTATTTTCGGGAACATCATAGGTTACAGGTGACTTCTGACGCTGCATCATTTCTAATTTCGTTTTATAATACTCTTGTTGTAAAATACTTGTTTGGTACTACTGTAATAGCACTACACGTTGCAGTTCTTTTGTAGTTAACCCTTTGGTTTCCCCAGTTTCGTATTTCTCTGTTGCTAATTTTCTTTTTGGTGGCAATGCCTTCTGAATTGCTGGCGCTTTAATACTAGCTGTTTGTACACTGCGCTCGGTATATAGTTCGCTTTCTTCTTCTTGAACACTACCAACCTGAATAGCACCTCTAATTTTCCCAATTGTAGGATTACAGTCACCTTCCATAGCTTTCTGCAACTTTCTTTCCCAATCTAACAATTTAATTGCTTTATTACCAGTTTTTTCAGCTCTGTTTTTTCTTTAATCTTGATTTCATGTTGTTGATTTTTTTTAATAAACCTTTCGTATCTAATGGTTTACCGAATGCTGATTCGTATTTTTTCAACACCTTCTTCAAGGCATCGTCCTTTCTCATTTTTAATTTTGGAACTGTTGCAAAATAATGGGAGCAAGGGCAATTTCATCTGCGATGAACTGCAGGTCGTTGCCATTATTTTCTATAGTTTCCTCATCACTTGAGGATGATATGCTTATTAATTTGATAAAAAACTGTATCCAGTAAAAATACGGAACGGTCTGTCTAAGGTCTGGAGTACAGCTGTCACTGATGCTGAGTGAACGAACTCCCACGTCAACTACAAGCTGGAACAAGTCAGGACATGTCGCTCAAGATACAAATACCAGTCAACCTTTTACTTCTTCTTGAAGGATATCCTCGCGAGTATAAGGTAATCATTATGAAAATCAAAACAAGGATATGCTTATACTTCTACCTTTTTCTCCGAAGCCAGACCTTATACTTTTACCTTATGCTTCTCTTTTATGAATACGGCTCATTCTCTATCGTCTTGCTAGTACCACATGTCTCTGTAAATGCTTATTGGCACGTCTTCCAATAAATTTGGTAAATCATTTTGTAAACAGTCTAAATAAATTTCGCCATTTAAGAACTCTGGCAGCTCGACGGGTAAAATGAGTCTGTCATTTAGAATCCCGGTCCACATGTTTATTTTAAAGTGATACTGTGATACGAGTATATCTTGTCATATTAGCTATTTTCGAGTTCTAAATTCAGTACTGTCACAAAACGGTTCTGGAACTGCGCAAAACTGAATGCGTAAAGGGGAAGATGTCTGGAGCGGTTACGAACAGTCCGAGAACTATCAGAATTTTGCCAAAACTCGAACAGCTTGAACCCAGGACTACGGAACAATTATTATTTTGTTTAGTGCTACATGTGGCCTTATGTCTTTAGGAAGTTGATTTGCTGGATAAAAAATGCCTTACCTAAAATGCTCAACAAACCGTTTGTCAGGAACAGATTCCTCAAAGAAATTATTATTTTTGCTTCCATGTTTGAGAAGCTCTAACAAAAATAAGTTGGGAGTAACTGCTTCAGTTCATCATCACTGTCAGACGACGATGATGATGACAAATCAGAATAAAAAATGATCTGCATCGAATCCATTTGTCCACTTTTCTTACAATTTTAAATAAAAAACACTCCTCAAACAGTAAGTAAGCAGCATTTAAAGAAAAACACGTCAAATAATTTTAATGGCATTGGCTGAAGGAATACACATGCGTGAAAAATCAGTTCAAAATGGTCCCGGCAGTAAAGGAAGAACTGCTCGAACGATCCTTGAACCATCCTAGAGCTGAACCAGGATATAACACCAACACGTCGGTTTCTTCTGCACATGCTCCTGATAGCTCTAGAACAGTAATGATGAAAACCCGAAAAAACCTATTGATGCTTGCCGTTTGACAAACTACTACGGACGATCACACGATCAACGATCATCGTAGATAGTGAAGTGCAGCCATAAGTTTGTAACGTAGATTCAAGTAACTATCTTGATAGGGATGACGAGCAGCATTTGGGTATACTTTATCTGAAGTCACTTGAAACACTGTGAAATACCGGGTGCGTTTTATATATCTATATTTAACACGCTCTGTTGCTGCAAAAATCGCCAAATTTCGCAGCAAATATCCCCCGTATAAGATCAAAGGCAGTTTCACCGGTCCACGTGGAGTAAAGCACGCCTATGCGTGGACATAGCCAATGAGAAAGCTCCGAACAAGTGCAGGTGGCTACTGAAAATTGAAACAGTTTAGCCAGTGCCGTGTAGCGGTGAATAAACGTGTTTTCTTTAGTCTGTCCGTGTTTTTTCATAGATTTTATTAGTTTGTGTGTTTTTGACTTTTGAATACTCAGTTTACTTGTTGATTTAATTGTTGTGTTGATTGTTCTTGTGTGTCCTAAATATGGCTCTTTGGAGACCTTGGGAAAATGCTCCAAGCCACGAGGAGATGGTTGATGAACCTGTGCAGGCAGAATTCTTTCATAAAGATTTAGAGGAACAGACCCAAAGAGTAATCCTAAATATGTATGATTGTCTGAAAAACGAAAATCCAGATTCCTCGCAAAATCAAATTTTAAACAGAATTTGTATCCTGACAAAAATCAGTCGGTCTACCATTTATCGGGTTATAAAAATGGGAGATGTAGTCAACCATTCCTTCCACAGAAAGCGCATAGGGCAAAAATTAAAAAGAATAGACGTGGGTTTTCAGGAAGATATTCGTCGTATAATATACGGATTTTATAAAGAAAATTTGGTGCCCACGTTGGAAATGATACGGGATAAATTGAAAGATTATCCTGAAGATTTTTAAAATTACAAATGCTTAGACTCACTGCACTGTATTGTAAAACTGTGTGGTTTTCAATACAAAAAATTAGATAAAAGAATGGTGATTATGGAGTCGTCTCGAATCGTTGAATTGCGCCAAGAATTTTTGCACAAAGTTAAAATCTATAGAGAGCAGAAAAGAAATCTGATTTACCAGGATGAAACGTGGTATGATACCCATGATGTTGTGCAGTACGGCTGGGTTGACGACAGCAACAAGTGCATTTTAAATGCACCATGCAACCGTGGAAAACGAATCATTATTCTCCATGCTGGCAGTGAAAATGGATTTATACCTAATGCCTTGCTGTTATCTGCCAAAAATATCAAAGAATCATGTGCCGACTATCATGAGGACATGACCTCCGACTTATTTGAAAAGTGGATAGAGCAGCAGTTAATACCAAACATTTCCCCAAATTCAGTGATTATTATGGACAATGCGCCATACCATTCCCGACAGAAAAACAAAATTCCGAATACAGGCACAAAAAACAAGACATTATTGATTTTATGAAGGATAAGGGAATGGAAATACCACAAAAATCAACCAAAACCATATTATTGGATCTTATTAAAAGACAAAAATTTGAAAAAGAGTATGTTGTTGACAATCTGCTTCAGCAAAATGGCCATGAAGTATTACGTCTACCTCGCTATTACTGCATTTTTAACCCGATTGAGTTGGTCTGGGCTGCTTTAAAAAAAAAAGTAAGAAAACATAATCAGACCCCTCAATTAAGTGAATCGCTATTGGCCACAATAAGAGATGCAGTATCTCATATTGCTGCCACAGACCTATGGAAGCAGTGTTCTAGGCATATTATTGAAAAAGAAAATGAATATTGTGTTTTGCCTCCTCTAAATCCCGTTGTAATTCCTCTACAAGATGACTCTAGCGACAGCTCCGAAGGCAAGGATGATATATAAATACCTATAATGTAAGTCTTTATATACCTTTTTATATACCTACCTGCTATGTAAATATTTGCCTATGTCAAACGTTGGAATTCTGTAATTTTTCCATTTCTTAACTTTCAGTCAACATAAATTAAACTCCCAATATAAGTATTTTTTATCCCAAATCAAAAAAATAAGAAGATAGTAAAATCCATTTATTGTGATATAAAAACATTATTATTATCGTTCTAAATAAATGACCGCACGCGTATGATACGTCATGAAATTACAAAGGACGCGCCGACCAAAGGTTTTTATGCTATTTCAAGTGACTTCAGATAAAGTATACCTCTCACGATAAAGCCTAGCTGCAGCACTAGCATTGCATCTGCATTCCCCATAAATGAGGTGCGTGTTGGCGTATTCCTGTACGGTGTACACAGACTACGCAATCATGAATTAAAAAAACTGGCATTACTGTCTTGCTGTCACTACGTTGAATGAGACTGTCCGTCTCTCCGTCTAACAAAAACATCAAAATTTGTAGTAATGGGAACTAAAAGATCATCACAGGGTGTAGATTTTCAGATTATTATATGTTGTCTAAATATTTTCCTAGCTATGGGTATTGGAGTGTTAAAAGAATGCAGGGCCAATAAGTTAAGGGGTCCGCTTTAAAGCACTATCCTACATTTAAGTTGGCGATACCCTGCTCAAAATCATTCTAATTATGTGGGACAATGAAGAATGTTTGTATCATGTATGTAGTACTTACGTCTTTCAGCTTCTTTTCTAGTTCAGTCCTATCTAGTTCCAGTTGAGCGGCTTTTCTTTCTGCCTTCCTAAGTTGGAATGACAGTATTCGACAGTTCTTGGTAGTTTGATCCAGATCTTTTTTTAAGGACGTATATTCCACTGCTTGGTCCTCCCTGATCAAATGACATATATTACACGTCTTTGTTTGTTCCGTTCTCTGTTGGCGTAAGTGCCAAAACGACTAATTACTTTCCAAATTTTGACAACAATAACAAATTGTAATAATTTGTGTGTATTCATACTTTTGGGACACCCTGTAGATGCGGTATAGTGGGCAAAGACTGATGCGTGGGTAGTATTGAATCAATCTACTGACCTAAAGTTGTCCTGTAGTTCATCCATCTGTTCTTCCATATCTCTTAACTCCTTCTTAATATCCTCATTTTCATCCATAAGTTCTTCGCACAAGGTCTCTGCAGCTAGGAGCTTGGATCTAAGGTCGTCGGCAATTTTTTGGGTTTGAGAAGCCGTTGGTCGCAGATCTAGATCAGCTTCCAGTTCTTTTACTTTTAAACTCAAACTCCTTTTTTCATCTTTGTAATCCTCTAGTTGTTGTTGTAATTCGTTACATTTTTGTTGGAGCTTCAATACCTACAATAAATTATACATTTTTTTTTTTTTCGAAACATAACTTTTTTGTAGAAAAATTTGATTTCCGTTCTCCGAAGCTAAAAGGTGACTAAACTCGTTACACTAAACCCTATTCGTAGTCGCCTAAGCGTTGCAATAGCTATTGGTCATTCGACCATAAAACTACGAATAAGTGCAGGATTCGACAGGATAGAACTCAAACTCGGGGTATCGCCGACGCCGGCAGTCGCTATTCATATTCGGTGCATAGATAGCGTGGGTTTATACGTTAGCATGTCGTCTACGGATACAGCAGATGAAACTGAGAATATTTCTCCCAATGCTTCCTTCAGCCATGCTTCCTCTTCAGTGATGTCTTCTCCCCGAAAACGTAACAAGAAGGGACATTTGATTATTCAGTTTATAAGAGCGAAATTTTAGAGCATCCTGAAATGAAAATTCATGATATTGAAAGACGTTTGGCGAACAAAACAGGCTTGTGTCCTAAGACAATTTTCAACACAAGAGGCTGCATTACACGAAGCTGTTGGATACAGTTGATAACTTATACTACATAGACAAATTATTTCAGGAGGTTAATAGTGATGAAGACTTACGTACTTTCAGAACAACTACGTTCTATAGTTTACTCAAAGAACTTCATTTTGAGTATAGAAAACGGGATAGAAATAGTATTTTGATGGACAGCCAAGAGATTATTTTATGGAGAAGTTATTTAAAATAAATAAAGAAATACCGCGACAAGGGCAGGGGGATTTATTACTTGGACTCTACAATTAAATCAGCAAGACAAGCCTTCTTAGATGGACTAACCACTGGCCTAAAGAATCTGTCAGGTACGGGTATCTGACCAATTTGTCATGTGTGTTGTAAAAATGGTGTCAGATAGACTGAATCTATGAGCCCACGCTAAAAACTTAGCTACACTAAACTTAGCTATATCTGGTAGTTGATGAGTCAAAGAAAACGACCAATGACCATGAAGAAATGGACGGGAGTTCATTTGAACGATGGTTTGAAGAAACGCTTCCAAAGCTTGATGACAATGCCGTCATTGTACTTGATAATGCTGCATAACACACTAGAAAACTAGAAAAAATTCCCACAATATCCACAAGAAAGGTAGAAATTCAACACTGGCTCTTGTCAAAAGACATTAGTTTCAATGAAAATATGTTCAAAGCAGAACTTATCCATCTAGTCAGGCAAATATAAATACAATCTTAATGTTATTGACGAAATGGCTAAAAACCAAAATAAGTCTGTGTTATTATCACTGCGAATTAAATCCCATTGAAATGATTTGGACAAATATAAAAAAAACTATGTGGCTTGAAACAATAGAACATTCAAATTTTCTGACGAGAAAAATTTGTTTTATGAAGCTGTCAAGAGAGTGACGGCAAACCATTGGAAAGATTGCATTCGTCACGTTCAAGAGACAATCGAAACAAAGATGTGGGATATGGACAATATGATCGATATTCAAATTGAACCTGTAATATGAACCATTCGGACGATGATTCAAGTACCTCCAGCGAATAAAGAATTGTGAAGAATTCTTTCTATAAAAATAATCATTTATTTTGTTAGATTATTTCAAGACCATTGAGGAAAATACGGACCTGTACAATTTCGCTTTTGGACATGTTGTGTTTTGTCTGGGCGTAAATCGACTACAAATGGGGTATAGTGCATGCTTTATCATCCCTTTTTAGATTTTGAATTTGTCAAGTGCTTGCGAAGAATTCCAAATTCATATTGGACATTAAGTAACGCATCCAGCAAATAACCATTTGCAAAGGTGTTAGAGACGTGACATGAAATCAAACTTGTAGCATAATTTTGGATACCTCACTAGCAGACGTTTTGCTTGTAGTGCTCTCCATTGCAGCCACTCGCCTGAGCAGCATATCTCCTTTTTCTCTTTCCAACCTTTCACATTTTTGCTTAGTAACATCCAACTCTTTCTTCAAACTTTCTAACTGGTCCCTCATGTCACTATCATAAGGATCAACCAGGGTAGTATCTGTGGATTCTGTCCCCGCAATACTTGCTGTGTCATCCCGATCAGATATGTCTGGTTCTTTGTTTGATTTTGTTTTTACCTATTTAAGATAATGGAAAAATGAACATTATAGTATAACTATTCTAGAATACACGAGAAACCTCTCAGGTTATCAAAATGTGTGCCTCACTGCTTTGGGTAATTCTCCAAGCCTTACTTTTCGTGTTACAAATATGCATCGTTGACTGAAATACAGTACAATATTTTTCCTCATTTTCGAAATTTTTCTAGTTCCAGTTCTGCGTTAAAGGGACGAAATGCGGCACAGTAAAATTCCCCATCGCGACACCCCTCTTACACGGACACCTCCTTTAAACGGACAGTTTCTCATGGTCCCGACCTTGAACGCACGTGGACACGAGAAAATTTTCTCCTAACTGGACAAAATAAAAACAAACGCCTTGTCTTATTTTTTTCTGTTAAGAGTATCGCTATTGCATTTCTTTAATATTTTGGTATAGTCGAAATCACGAAAGATGACGATCACGTCATCATTTTAGTATGTAGTAAAGACAAACGACAGCGATTTGTGAATATTTTTAATGAAGTTTCTGATATGTTAGACAGAGACAAACAGAATTTTATTGTCTAAACAAACTGTATTGCTAATTTGCATGTATCCGAAAAAGATAGACGATGTTTTCATGTTGCATGATCGATCATATTTGAAAGATAAATAGTTAGGTTATGTTAAAGCAGGTTAGGTTGTTTTCGAATAATACTGCGGTTTTTGGTGTTCCTGTCTTAAGGTATTCTACTCATAACTGTTTTTTTTTCAAAACAAAAACTCCCCACTAAAATTATTATTAAAGTATCACTCAAAACCATGAAATAAAATGAAAATAAAAATAATCAGTGAAATAACCTAACTTCGCAAAATCATAACATAAATTTGTTGACATTATGTTCCTGACATCGTGATTTTATCATCGACGTACGTCCACTGATTACTTCAGTACAATTTATGGTATGACGGTATAGCCATTTTTCGTGATTTTACCTATACAAACGCAGCCTACGTGATGAAATTCTGTCTGGCGTGAATTTGGGAGTTCTCTGAGTTGGTCGGGGATTTACCGTTCTTTTGCCTCCTAATTGTACATCAGCGTCTCAACCACTTATTACCCAAGTTTCATACTTGAACAGCTGTTACTAAACCTTGAAACTGCTGGTACATCTTTTGAGTTAATAAAGAAAATTACATCATTGGGTGCAGTTTATTTGGCAAAAATCACTAACTAAAGAGACAGTAGAAAATTGCTTCCGCAAATCGGGATTTAAGCATGAAAATATGCAAAGTGAAGACCAATTAAATGAGGCTGATATACCTGTCCCAGAATATGACTTACCACTTAATGTACTCTTAGATTTTTTTTACTGGCACTAGGACTTATACCCCATTAGCCAGATCCGAAATTTTCACATAATTTCAATCAATATGAAATGCACTCACATGACCATCAACACTACATCCATGGCATCGAAATGTTATTTCCGAAGGCGGGATTCGAACCCGCGGTTCGTTTAGCCGACGTATCAGTACCACGGTCCCACTTTCAGGTTTCCCAAAAATAAGAATTTAATTGAAACTGACTGATAACCAAAAGTTTTATGATTTTTTGAACCCAGATGAAAGTTTGTATATGAAGGTTGAAATACAAGAACTTTCCGAAGATTCTGATATCGATGAGGGTCCAGTACAGAAGCTATTAAAAGTTATGGCAAAGCAGCTCAAAAGTTTTGTCGAAATTCAGGTTACAGAGCCTTTAGAACTTCTCCCTCCTTCTCATGTAATTGCGCACTCGTCGAAATATCTCTGGAGTGTTTTTTATTCTATCACAAGCTGCAAATATTCTTTCTCTTAATTCCTCTACAGTTAATGGGACTTGTGTACACTAGTGTCTTAAGATAGCTCCACAAAAAGAAATCTAAACTGTTGAGGTCTGGGGACCTTGGTGGCCATTCTTGGGATCCACCGCGGCCATCCAACGATTTGGATAAACAGTTTGTAAATAATTACGAACCGCTACACTGAAATGCACTGGTGCACCATCATGCATGTACCACATTGTTTCTTATTACTACCGGAACATCATCAAGCAGCAAAGGCAACTGTTGTTGAAGAAAATTGAGGTAAGTCTGTCCGTCAAGTCGTCCCGGCAAGAAGAATGGGCCAATAAGGTGGTTGCCAATAATTCCTGCCCATACGTTAACCGAAAATTGGAGTTGGAAATGGGTTTCGGTTACGGCATAGGGATTTTCTTCTACCCACAAATGATTCTTGTGGAAATTCTGAATGGCATTTCGAGAAAAATTAGCTTCGCCCGTGAACAGAATCATTGATTCAAATTGCGGATTTTGTGTAATTTTTTAAAGATACCATTGACAAAAGGTCACACGCCTTGGAAAATCAATGGGAAGTAATGCCTGTACTCTTAAAATATGGTAAGGATATAACAAAAAATCCACTAAAATTCTCCAAACAATTTGATGGCAAATATTTAAGTGTCTAGCGATCCTCCTTGTACTCGTTTCAGGATGTTCTTAGACTTCGTGCAGCACTGCTTCCTCAATTTCAGGTTCGACTATCTGGCAAAGCACGATCGTGATATCTCTGGTGATAAATCCGTCTGGCTTGCTCATCATTACCGTCGGCAAGGCCATATACGTAATGCATTTCCGCCATTTCTGCATTTGAATAATACACCATTATTAACAAGATTGTAAAAACTAAATAATGAAAAAGATGTCACAGCGAACAGATTTGAATAACAGAGACGTATCAGATGTCAAAAGGCAGTGACATATTCCAGAGCAACTAGATATTTATTGCTAAATTGCATTCTTCAATTATTACAATTTGTCGGACAATAGAACGGGGAATTCAAAAATAATTTTTATTTGGCGTGCCACTTTTTTCTTGAAAAATATCGAAGTCAATGTCCGTACGCACGCCACTGTTAAAGCTAAAAATTACTATTAACTATTAACTTTCACTACGTACGAAATATCAGTGAAATATCTGATTTCTGAAAATATTAATTAATTTCCATTTTATTCCTAAAACTTCAACACCCCGAGTTTTTGTAAGGAAACATTTTTGGACCATAGTTTATAAAGCAAACTAACATTAATTTTTCATGTAGATTCACACTCTTAAATATTCGCATATCGTTAAGGAACACCCTGTATATGTATGGACATAAAATATTCAGTTTTCATTAAAAACACTATTTTTTATATTTCTTTTGTATGGACACCCCTCTTGATGGATACTTTCAGTCGGTCCCGTTAGTGTCCGTCCAAAGAAGATTTCACTGTATATGCTTTAGGGGCTAAATAGTAGTAGAAATGAGACAGATTATTTTTTTATTTTACCTGAGAGGTTGCATTCATATATTCAGTACTTTGCGTATTTTAGAGTCGAATGTCGTTCCTTGAGGCATCCTTGTTGTGAAGACGCCTTATTTGCCATATACACTTGGGAGTGACAGGAAAGTTTTCAAACCCTGAAGAGAGTGGCATTTTTTTCTGCGGCCTCATCTGTTACCTCTGGTTGTTGTGCCAAAATCGTGTCTTATGGGAAAAAGTTAAATAAGAAAGCTTCAAGGTTAACGCTCATGCAAGGAAGTAAGGAGACCTCAGGCCATGTAAAGCGGCCTTCATCTTTGAGGATATTAGAGAAAATTCTGTCACTCCCAAGGCATCAAATGGAACTGTGCATCCAGTCCTTAGATAGTCCAGACAATTGAAACATACACAATTATGTACAATACTACCTTTTATGAAACATAAAGAATAAAGAAATACAATTATTAGTCCTAAAGCGCTAGCGTGTACAGGTGATTATTATCTAAAAAGCAGTTACATTTATCGAAAACATAAAATATCACATCCAGAATATATTGAGTGACAAAAAAGGGTAAAAACCTACGTAAGTTTATTATAATTCAAGAATTTTTTACATATCGATTTATCTTGCCATGAACAACAAGTGATGGTCAGGTTAAGTTTTTGTGGTGGCTGCGAGTATTGTTTGGTGATAAAGAAGGATTCAGTTTTCGTAAATTTACGGTGTCAGTTAAATGTTAGAAGCCTTTTTGTGATTGCTCAAAATGCCTAGAGTGCGTAGGATTTGCCGGGTGTCCCAGCTAAGTGACTTTGAAAGGGGTTGAATTGTCGGGTTGCAGTAGCCCGGAATGAGATACCCCAACAGGATATCGACCACATTATCAGCGCGATGCCCAGGCGTCTCAATGAGTGTATAAGAAATCGTGGATCCTCAACACATTATTGAACCAGCTTCTGCAGTCAGTTGACTAATCAAGTTGATCATTTTACTAGTAAGGAACACTGAACATATATACCAAAAATTATTAAAATCGGATAAACATTCGTAGGTGTTTACCTTTTTTTTGTCACTCAGTATATCTCCGAGGTTCTAATGATCTGTTCCAAAATTTTTATATTCTGAGTTAAGCCACAATATCGTAAGAATAACATGGAATAAGATAAAGTATCATGGCTTAACTGCTGTAACTAGGGCTACACAAGAGTAATTTCAAGCTCACCGTACGAGGGATGTCTTTTAAGTTTTGCATATGGAAATAAAACAACACGGTAGGTAGTTTTAAATGACTTTATTGTTTTTCGAAGTATTCTCCACGAAGATTAATACACATCTGCATGCGATCAAACCACTTTTCGAAGCACTTATTCCACTCGTTTTCTGGCAGATCTAAAACGGCATTTTTGAATGCGTCAACTGCTTCTTCTGGTGACTGGAACCTTTGACTACGCAATCTGTTTTTAATTTTCGAGAAAGTTAAGAAATCGTTAGGACTTAGATCGGGACTATATGGAGGATGGTCCAATAATTCCACGTTTTCTTCTGTTAAATACTGCCTTGTTTTTTGGGCTCTGTGCAAGCTTGCATTGTCTTGGTGGAGGATGATTCTTCTTTCGGGGTTGATTTTTGGAAGCTCGGTGATGACTTTTGGAAAACAAATGGTGGTATACCAATCCGCAGTAACAGTTCTT